TCTTTCCCTCCCTTCTATACGTTCGTCCTATTCTCGATGCAGAGAGTACAGGAGCTACCAAATTACAAAACGCGAGTTATTTGAAGTGAAAATATAATATGTTCAACGTCTGTTTCTATCAAATTAATTTTAAATTCATTTAATTTAATCTTTACCTTTTTTTAATGTTACAATTAGGAGAGAAAATATAAAAAATAAATTAAACTGAAATTAAAGTGAATCTAGATGTTTTTTTTATTATTGCATTGGACTGCATTTGCCTTCTCGCTTTCGCCAAATTTCTAACATCTATCTATTTCAATAATTACGAAGTGTACATTAATTCAGTAATAAAAAACCTATTGGTATATGTAGAAATCTGGTCTGTTCTTTTTAGCTGAATTTCTTGCACGGTTTGGCTTTCCTCTTTTTCTTTTCATATTGGAGAGATACGGAAAAAAGATGAACTCTGCAGGAAGTTCAGCTAAAAAGAACTAAACCTGGATACAAGATGAATAAATTGGTTTGTTTAATTGCATTCGCTCCTTTTTCTCTTCTTTCTATCGAAGAATCTAGATCTGAAAAGGTTTTTTCTATCCTATGTTCTATCCATCTTTGTGTTTTTTCCATGGAATTTACCACAGAAAGCACAAATGCGTTTGCGTTAAGCAGCCTATTTTTGCATCAAATTTAATAATAAGATTGTTTAAAAATAACAGTGAAAAGCGAAGCGCGGACTGAAGGTCCAGTATTGAGCAATGTTGAGTCAGAGACCATATAACAAAGTCTGGCTTTGAGATAACAACTTGATTGGCTCATCATTTTTGTCAACTTCAATAAATTGGAATGAGTAAGATACTCTCTAAATTCTTTGGAATGAAATTTCACTCTAAAAATTGAAAATTGAGTCTTGAAAAAGAATCTTTAACAGTGAGATTTCACTCTTCAGAGTAAGATTCGTTCTAATACTTGTCTCTATCAATATAGATTAATTTCAATTTCAGTTCAACTTACTCTTCACCTTTTTCTTATTCTTAGAACTAGAAAATGATGAACAATAAATTAAACTAAGATTAAAGTTGATTGACATTGATGGAACAAAAAATGGGCGTATAAATTTTGAAGAATAATGTAAGTTAGAATGAAACAGAATGCATAAAAAGAGACAGTACATGTACTCTTTTTCCTCACTCTTTTGACAAAATCGTCAAACTCCCACGTTACAGAATCTTAGGACCAGCTTCGAAAAGGATCGTTTCCTCCACCGGTGCGACACGCAAGCGAGTCGTCATGTCGTTCGATGCAAACGGTAAGAGAGAGAGAGAGAGAGAGGGAAACACTCATTTCCGCAGAAGAGCGAGGGATCCACGGCTGGCACGGCTCGCTCGTGTTCGCACGCACGCACGCACGCACGCACGTCTCAAAATGGCTGGTCGCTAAAATTAGAGATCGAGCGAGCACGAGCAACATGGACACAGAGAGGTTATGGTATATCGGAAGAAAAAAAAAAAATTAACAATTCGACCGACGCGATCGACGCTAAATCGATATTGATTGGACCGTCGTCGTCAAGTCGGCGAATCTCTCGGAGCATTAAAATTCGAGAGGCTAGAGGAAACTTACCTCGTTGTCGAAGTAAAGTCATATAAGATGGTATCGCCCTGCTGGACGGCCGCTTTCTAGCGTGAAAATCCTCCGCTCGAGGGAGCCGAGATTCGAGACAGATGGATCGCCCTTCCTACCCGGGAGCAACCCGATACGTGTCACGATACGTGAAGGTTCCTCGCTGCCGTTATCGACGAGATTGAATTTGCGTTTGAATGGCTCGCTTGCGCGAGAAAAAGAGAGTGAGGAGATAAGGACAGAGCCGGCCTTCTGGTGGGTCCTACGTCGTTGCTCCTGGTTGCCCTCCGGCGTCGTCGACGAGTAGAGTTTACTCTAATCACCGGTACTCGCGGAATCGCGTAGAGAACGGCGGCTCTCGATCGATGGGAATTGAAGAAGACTAGTACTGGCACTGATCGAAAACGCTACAAGTCACATTTGCTGCGCGATAGCTAGTATGGCTGGTATGGCTACTACTTGAAGCTCGAAGCAGTAGTTGAAGTTTGCCTTCAATCCTGAACGATCTGAACGCAGCCGCGAGTGTTGCGCGAGTTGCGAGTGCTGTGAAGGCTGCTTGTTGAGTGATAATTCCGCAGTGTATGATTCGTCGGTATACGATTGTCATCATCGTGTTATTGACAATCGGTTATGGATTTTTCGCTTGTTTATTACTTGATAAAATTATCGTGATTATCAAGCGGGCTGCGGGGGAGATGTAATTGAAAAAATATCTATAAAAATATATCGATAAAAATTTCATATCGGTATTATTGATGAGAATTTTCCAATCGTCGACATAAACAGACATACTTAAATACTTATCTGAATAATTAAACTTTTACTGCAGTATTAAATTCATAATTATTGTATATAGAATGCATATTTACGATATAATAATATTATATATTATGTTACAAAACTACATTTAAATTTTATCACTACAGTATGGATAATCAATTCCGGATGATAAAAAAATCGAAATTTTAAATAAAAATCAAATATTAATTATTTATCAAATCTTAAGTGTGTTTATGTGTATATTTCTTATGAAATATCAGAGTAAATAATGAATCATAAAATCAATATGTCATCAACTAATTATTTAAATTTTGACAGTCATGTAAATTTTTACAAGATCATTGTTAGCCTCTAATCTTTTTATAATAATTCAGTATATTATAGGATATATAATTCTTCGATATTGACTTTCTCTTTATTGTGTTGGTGTTATGAATTATAAAATCAAATACTGCAGTCTACTATATAATATTTTCATGCTGTGAATATATACATTTTATATATATTAGTCTTGTATAGAGGGCTGTATTTACGTTATATGTCTGGAAACACGGTAGTGTTTCGGCGCTAAGCCAAGCGCAGCGACACTGCCGTGCCTCCTTTATCCCGGATCTACAATAGAGTTTTAAGCCTTTTAAGGGGATGCCGGAGTGACCAAATTATCACATTACAGTCGTATAAAAATCTTCGAATTGACTGAACGGAATAAAAAAAATCCTTTTACAGGATTAAAGTAGACGCAAAATTAGAAGGTGATGCAGTGGATTTTATACTAAAATCGAAAAAAAGTTAAAAAATTTTTTAACATTCTTTCGATTTTAGTATAAAATCCACTGCATCACCTCCTAATTTTGCGTCTACTTCAATCCTGTAAAAGAATTTTTTTATTCCGTTCAGTCAATTCGAAGATTTTTATACGACTGTAATGTGATACATAAAAAATGAACGAATCATAGTCGATTATTCTCCTCAAATTCGATTGTAAATCAATTTCTTAAGGCTTAAAACACCTATTGTAGATCCGGGATTACGCGATACAGCATATAGTGTATTTTGATATATGTATGTTTAAAATAAAATTTCTTGATAACGTTTCATATCGGCTTTTGTTTAATTGTCACTGTCATGGTTCGCTGATAAGTTTATCATATAAGAATGTATAAGAGCTTTCAAGTTATGAATGCAAATCGACACAGTGTCGTTCTGTTTATGAAAAACTGAATCGAAAAATCCTCTATTATTTTGCAATAGTCGCAACAGTTAACAAGATATTGTAATTTCTAAAAATTGCCGATAAGCAGGTAAAATCGATGTATATATAAGACAACATTAATCAAAAGATATCTTTTAAAGTTCTTTATGAAATATTTTTATCAAAAATCGTTCTATTTATTGATATAGCTATTCATTCTATTTATTAGTAACTAAAAAATAATTGCAAAAATAATTGCAAAAATTGCAAAATATAAGGTGAATGTCCCTATTTCTACTCATTTAAGACAAATTGTACCAAAAACAGAAATTTAAATTATTCTTTTATGTAACAATTAACGAAAAAGTTTGATTACTTATCACTACACGAACCGTATTATATATTAAATATGAAAAAATATCATTTTAAAGGCTTTTGTTATGAATAATCGTGAATTAAACGCAATGCATAAAATATACGTATTTCTACTCAACAGAAATCGCGGTGTCCGCATATCTACTCATTGGCCCGTATTCAGAACGCATTTACAACGATGTTAGCGCGTTAACATACTATACTTTACGTCACGCATATTATAGAATTTCAGAGATAAAAGCGCTCTTTTATCGATAAAAGCGCGTTCTGAATACGAATCATTATGTGTCCCTATTTTTAAAGACACAATAACTTTTCGTGGAACGATGTAGAGTTTGTTTAGTGATTAGACAAAAGCCAAATCGCTAGTATTTACGTAATTCAATAGCGCCACGATTGAAATTTCCAATAACGACGACTGCTCGGATATGAATTATGAAATTCATTTTTAAATACATATTGCTACCTGGTGAGCAGTGAATCTGTGCAACTTACGCGGGAGTATATAAATTATGTATAATTAATCTTTCTGTAACTTATTCTATCAGCTAAATATTTATATTAAAAGAAGAAATCGGAAGAAAGTAGAAATCGGGACTTGAGTAGAAATAGGGACGTTCATCTTGGAGGACTTTTTAATTCAGAGGATTGATTCTATATCGTGAAACGAGGTGAAAATTATAAAAGTGAGCGAATTTACTAGAATACTGATGATTTCATTGGTCAACACCTAGTTAATGTGCTCACTTTTGTAATTTTCACCTTCTTTGAAAATACAGAATCGACCCCCAGTTTATCATATCGTCTCGTTACGTCTCGTTCTCTGCCATAGCCCATACTATTAAAGACCGTCAACCCTGGGCAAATTTTCGACGGTATAAAAAGGGCCTCAAGGGCCCGGAGGTAATCAAAGAACGCTAACATTATCGACAATTGATATAAATTTGCTATTATTAACATAAATATTTGACTAATACATTATTAAATTCATGATATTTTATTACATAAATGCTCTATAAATAAATATGCATATTTGTAAAGCTATAATATCCTATATATTGCCGAAAAATTACAATTTTTTTCTCTACAGTTATTATCTCTGTTGATAATCGAACTTTGACGATAACACTGAAATCACAATTTTAAAGAAAAATCGAGTATTATTGAGTTTTAAATGCACGTACACCGATAAACACGTCTATTAAACTAATAAATCATGAAATTAGTACAATATTATCAGTTTTTTTTACTCTTAATCACTTCAATATTAACAAGGACGCGAACTCCCATAAGGATGTCGGTCTTTAATAATATCTCGTCGGTGTCATAGCCTAGACAGTGTGTACTTGCGCTGGGTCTAGATCACCTTGTATTCTATCATATTTATTTTATTAATCATTTTATATTACGCTTTTCCTGGGCTGCATTCAGGAATTACGCCCAGATAACTCTAAGCTATAGGTTACGTTACGTATATTATAGCAAAAATGCACCCTAGAGTTATCTAGGCGTAAATTCTGAACGCAACCCTGTGTAACAATTCCACCATGGACACCGCGATTTTATCGCCAGTACGTAGCTACGTAGTTTCCGAATCGAAAATGGATATTGGCGCTAGTGTACGAGCGATTTTGATGGTTCTTCTCGTTCTTCTCACAAGAAGTGCCATTGCCGGGCCCGACCGGGATCCAAAATATTCCAAGATCTGAATGAAAATCCTAGGATTCCAGTTATTAGTTCAGTGAGTAAATTGTTGATTTTTGTGAACGAAAGCTAGAATTAGTTCTTAATTTTACTGAAAATAAATGGTAAATAAAGATATTCGTTCTTAAATAATTAATTACATGTCGTTTTTATAGTTGGTGATATCACATGCATTTGCGTCGAGTTTAATCTCAAATTGAGAAGAGCGATTCTGCGTCTGCTGAAGGCAGATAAAATTCATAAAGAAACGACTTGAATTTGACAAATCTCAGTTAGGAAGAGATGAAGAGTGCGATGACAGTATTCAGAAGTGTGCGGCTCAGCGAGTTCGCAGTGGCGTTTCGCACGTGCTATAGGAAATACTGCACTACAGAGAATTATCCGACGACGACTACAGAGAATTATCCGACGACGACTACAGAGAATTATCCGACGACGACGACAGAGAAGGTGATCCATCCGTATTACCGAATTCATCCGTGGAAATCGGAGAATGAATTTGCGAAGGATTTACTGAAGAACGTTATTTACAATTCAGGTGGAGAAATCTCATTGTACATCTAGAGTTAATTTAACAGTATTTTCCAGCAAGATTAATATAGCTATTTTTATTATTATTGCTCCATTTTATGAAAGTTAATAATTCCTTCATCACTTTTACATCAGTCAAATGATGCTAATTTTACATATGGACCACTTACATCAAATAATAGGAAATACGGAAATAACCGATACATTTTACTGGATGCTGTAATCTGACCGAATACTCAGACAACTTATGTAATGTTATTTGTGTTTACATTGAAAATGACCCGATCGGCGTCGAAACGTTTGTACGAATATTAAATATTCTTTATATTGTAACTGGCTCATAGTCCTTCTTTTATTTATTGATTTATTCTGATTGAGCCATATTAATAATATTTTATTTAATAATCCTTGTTTTTTGATGTAATTTCAGCATTATCATGACTATTAAACAATGTTTATTTGCAATAATCATTAATATTATAATTAAAAATATGTTATTTCAGTTATATTTTACTTGCATACATTATTTTAACATGAAAAATTTCTTTTATCATTTTGTAAAAGTTAATAATTTTTTAAATATAATTTTAGAGTATATATCATGATTATTAAACAATGTTTATTTTTAATGGTCATTAACTCTCTGGAGCTGACGTCAAAATCTGTAATATTAGTTACTAACGCTGGATCACTATAAGATATTTAATTTATGTTGAAAGGTACTAATTAATTTTGATGAACCAAAATGTATGACTTGTACAAAAAAGAATGAATAAGTATATTTTAATATGAATAATTCAAATTTGCAGATGTAACACGAAGAAGATATTTGTCATTTCTGTGTAAAATGGTATAATTGGCACGTTAATAGATACAAGAATTAAGAATTAACAAAATTAAAATATATTTTTTATCTTAACATTACTTCACAGAGAAAGTTGAATTATTTTTACTCATCAAAATCTTTGTTATCCAAACAATAACTACCTAGGATGTTGACATATTCAAGACATAAAAATTTGAAACTTGAACTTTTTGAGCAGTACTGTATTTTTCTGTCTTGGCTTATGCGTTTTTAAATAATTCAGAATCAGGTATCAAATAAAGCGTTAATCTTTTTCAAATTTTGGTGGCTGATCAAGTCAAACATTTTTTGAAAATAATTATTTTTATAATTAAGGGGATGGGGGGTGGAATAAAGGCCTCTAATTGTAAAATCTTGATATTAATAAAAATTAAAATAACTTGCTACTTTTTTATTATACACAAATAAGTACAGTATCGAATGAATTTATGTAATGTCTTTAAGAAGTTATATGTTACAATACTTTTCTATTACGATCAATATTACATGAAAAAGCTAATTGCTAGAAAAAGGGCCGAAGTAGAATTGTGCCTTTATTCCGTCCCATCTCCTCAATTAGTCTATTCAAAATATTATTTTGATTTATACAAAATAATCCTTATTTTTCTGAATGAAAAACAGATGAAAATCATCCTGAAATTCTTCAAATCGTGAAAAATCAATAGTCACTTCACAGTGGCACAATATCTGTTAGACTTGAAGGAAATATAGTAAAAATATGAAAGAAAAGGTATTAGGAAGGGATATTTTGCAGGTCTTGGGGCAGGTTTGGATTCCCACCTGGGATCACCATCAAAACATATCTTTGAATAACAATCTAGCAGTGACAAAGGGATTTATAATTGAATCAGTCCAATACACACTGTCAGCTCCGGAGGAGTTATATTAATATTGAAATTCAAAAAACATTAAACCACAGTCAATCTATTTGCTTATATTATCTTAAGTATGATAGTTTCCTTTTGTCATCAGAGTTGGTTTTTCTGTATTGCACACAGAGGAGTTTCATCATTTGTAATAAGAAACTTTGAGTTATATACAGGGTGTCCCATTTAACCTGAAATATCGAAATAACTCAAAAAATACGAATTGGACGACATAATAACCAAAATAAAAGTTGTTCCTGTCGAAGAGAGCCGTCGAATGATATCAAAATCGACTTCGCCCCCGCCCCCCTGGGGGTGGGGTGGAGGGCAACTTTTGAATGTCAAACGGGAACCCCCATTTTTTATTACAGATTCGGATTCTCCATGGAAAAATAAGTAAGTTTTATTCGAAACTTTTTTTTCGATTCGTGGCAGATGGCGCTGTAAACGATGAAAACGAAAGAAAGTAGGAGTAACGAAAGATTGAGACTGGGCATTGGATATAACAATTTTTGAGAAAAGTATCCAACGAATCAAACTCCCCTCGCCTCTCACCTTCGGGGTGCTTGTTTTCGGTGAGTCCCCTCGCCTCTCACCTTCGGGGTGCTTGAATTTGAACATTTAATTTAATCGAATGGTGAGAGGCGAGGGGACTCACCGAAAACAAGCACCCCGAAGGTGAGAGGCGAGGGGACTCACCGAAAACAAGCACCCCGAAGGTGAGAGGCGAGGGGAGTTTGATTCGTTGGATACTTTTCTCAAAAATTGTTATATCCAATGCCCAGTCTCAATCTTTCGTTACTCCTACTTTCTTTCGTTTTCATCGTTTACAGCGCCATCTGCCACGAATCGAAAAAAAAGTTTCGAATAAAACTTACTTATTTTTCCATGGAGAATCCGAATCTGTAATAAAAAATGGGGGTTCCCGTTTGACATTCAAAAGTTGCCCTCCACCCCACTCCCAGGGGGGCGGGGGCGAAGTCGATTTTGATATCATTCGACGGCTCTCTTCGACAGGAACAACTTTTATTTTGGTTATTATGTCGTGCAATTCGTATTTTTTGAGTTATTTCGATATTTCAGGTTAAATGGGACACCCTGTATATTAAAAGGGATATTAAAAAGGGTATTAAAAGGGATATTATATCGTTGTAAAGTTATATCGATTAGAAATAAAATATATCTATATATTTTTGTTTTACTTAGCTGTTAAAAGTGATACATTTAAATATTAATTTATAAATACTTTTTTGCAGGTGGAATAATTGCAATAAACAAACCATATGGCATATCCTTATATTCAAAGCCAGATACAAAACCACATCTGTTTTCATATCATAAGATTGTAGGAGCAGTAGATTATTCTATAAACGATACTTTGTCATATCTTGCAAAGGAGTTAGATGTACCGACGTTAATACCATGTTTAGGAGCAGAGAAGTATGTCATCTTCGATTTCTTCTTCTTTCTTTTCCTTTTAAAAAAATCATTTAATTTAATTTACTATAAATTTTATTTTATTTGTAGATATGTGAGCGGCGTATATATTTTCGGAATTAATGAAAAAGTGTGCCATCAATTAGAATTGTCAAGAAGACGAACTCAAGGTAAATACAAAAAATATTGGGCAATCACAACTAGAGTTCCAAACGAGATCAAAGGAAAATATCGTTTAGCAATGATTTTAAAAATGTCTGCATTAAGAGATAAAAAGGTATACCTCCATATACATATTTTCATGAAATAATTAATATTCACTGAGATAACAATCACATGTGCATTTCAGCCTATTATCGTGACTCAGTGGAGTAACAACAATGTAAAAAACGATAAAGTTAAGATAATGAATGTAGATTATAAAGTCATAAGCAATTCGACGCATAATTTAAGTTCGTTAATAGAAATTGTATCATCTGCAAGAAAATGGCATTGTATCAGGTTATTCGCTTCTACTATGCTATACAGCCCGATTCTTGGAGATAATATTCATGGATCACGAGTCCAAGAAATCATGGGTACATGGTTAAAAATTGATCCATTTGCTGATTCCACTCAGAATTTACCAAAAATAAATCGACAACTACTAGAGCTACTAGATATGAAACTAAGTCAACAAGAAATTATTCCAGCACACATACATTTGAAAAGTGTACACTTAATTATCGGCAAAGAGAAAAAAGATCTAGTAATAGAAGCCCCTTTGATGGATCCGTTTGATTGGACTTGCAAACAGCTTAAGTTTAAAATACCTGATGAAATCAGAAATTCTATTAATGAAGATAATGAAGAATTAATTTACATGAATGCACATGATGGCAATTAACTCACATACTATCGTTAAGTATTTTGATTGTAATAAAAAGGATTTTAATTAAATTGAAAACATTTATTTCTTAGCGTACATTCTCTTATATTTAATCAATCAGATGAATAATGTAATGATTAATGAGATAGCACATGTTTGCCCTTTAAGATTCTTCTTTGGAGAATTTTTCTACCATTTGGTGTCGACAGCCTCGCAAACCAGCCATGCCTTTTTATTCGTTTCCTTTCACTAGGATGAGGAAAATGATATCTCATTCTATTTCTCACAAATGTTAAACCCCATGGGCTCCACACGGATGTCGCAGTTACTGTCGACGAAAGTTGGTTTGAAGCCCGTCTGTAAACATGTTAACAAAATATATTCTTATTACATAATGTATTTATACCTTTTTAGTTATTTAATACTTCAATATTGTGTTTATGTTTTATATTAACTCCTAGTACCCACGATGATTTTCAAGTTTTTTATTACACATGATGGGTTGTCCATATTCCAGACAACCTATTGTATGAATTTTCATCACTTATAAATATACAAAAATTATTCAATGATTCTTATTTTAACATTTTAACATCTTTAGAAACTATAAAGTTGTGTATTTAAGAAAAAAAGAATAAAGACTATTATTTAGTCAGATTTTTCTAATATTTCAAAGAAAAGAAATAAGACAACTAACCCAATCATGTGTACTAAGGGTTAAATAATACAAGTAACAGTTTGCTATGTTTGTGTAACTTATATTACTTTTATATTATTTGACATAATTTAATTTGTTTCTTATCTACAAAATAATAACTAGTATGCACAGAAAGTATCAGTAAAAATACACTTGACAACGAATGTATTTAGGATTGATATGATGCGTATCGACAGGAATTACTATAAAAAGTATTATTAGAGATCAGAAACAAAAGATGACATTTACGGCAAGGATTGAAATACGCCCGAGATCAATTTGCCGAACATTTTTTCATATCGTAAACGTCCCAATACGTTGTAGAATTCAAGACTGAGTCAGGTTAAGTTTCATGCGCACACTCAGCGAGTCAATAATCACGCATGCGCGGCATGATGACACATCGACGATTGACCGGCGAAAATCGTCGAACGTTTCCGAAAACCATCGAAATTCGAAAACCGACAGGCCGACAGGATGCTGTTACGTGGCGCACTCTGGTAGCGAAAATTGGAGTTTTATGATTTCACCGCTGCCACTGGGCGCGCGTTCAAGTTGACAAAGCGGCTAGCCGAGCAAATGAACATAATTGGTTGTTTCTTATAGATCCAACCAATCATATTAAATCGTTCGGTATTCTCGGTAAGCATTCCAAGCCGCTTTGCCGTTCTTGACTTCGCCCACTGTTACTGCCAAATGTTGCTGTAATAATGGACTCATTGCAAAATTCGATCTGCATCGTAAAAAGTAAGTAAATATATAATCTGAATCTGTAATATAGTCATCACGTTTGCATGTATAAAAATTGCAACGTGCAATATTATCATTAGTGCAATTTCGATACCCAAACGAGGAACGGGAGGGGGGCCATTTTTGTGCGAAGAAAAATATCAAATCATAGTAATGTCGAAATGACGTTAAAATGATATTAAAATGAATCATAAATATTTTTGAGTGATTAGAGTAAATGTTATTTTGATATTATGACTTGTTCTGCTTAAGTAGATTTCTCACCTCGAATATTGACAATATCTGTAATAAAAAGAAAGAAACAAATAGCAACAGGTAAAATATCTCAATGGTTGTCATTTCCTTAATCGGAAATATAATTGTCGAGATATACGTGTAATTGTCAAGTAAAAAATTTTCTAATAAATCTTTCGAATATGACATTGAATTTGAATACGTTTCAAGCGCGTTAAAATATTTACGCCCCGATGAGAGAGATCTCTGAATGCCTGTCAAAACTGGCTGGCTTCAATCGGTCTATTAGCGAGGACTCGTGTTCACTGATTGATCTATTCTAGGGTTCACAATACCTCATGGGCTGACTGAAGGGCACAGCAGTATTAGAAGGTACCAGCCCTCGAGAATGCTACGGGACAACAATATATCTTCGGTTATTCGATACAACATATAATACCGACCCTAAAAGGTACAACACACATCCGACAAATTTCTAAGCTTACGTTTGAGCAAAGAACCATTGTCGTTATATGGGATAAACGGAGAGAGAGACTTACAAATTATTAGAAAGAAACTACAAATAATATATGAGCCTCGCTTTGAAACCGAATAGATTTTGATTCCATTGCACTTTATCTTCACTTGATCTTCACTTTTCCTCTCTAGTAGCAAAACTCATGATTTATTACATCATTGATTTTTTCTACTCTTTATTTATTGAAGCTCTGGACGTGATTTTCTCAAAGATTCACAAGACACTGGCGATTTTTTTTAATATACTTCTAAATGAATTTGTTGAATTTTATAATACTATTTTACTACTTTGAATCTGTTTAAATTACGAGAAAAATGGTAGTTTTACAATATATAAAAATTGTCTTTTGTAAAGAAATACGTTATATTGTTAAAGTATACAATGATTTAATTATTTGATCAAATTTTTAAGGCAAAATGAATGAATATTCGCGACCGCGACTTTGTTTAGAATTTTAGAGTGATATTTTTGGATATATGTTTATGTGGATATTATATATGTGAAGATAATATTGATATTTTTTCTAAATAATTTGTGTTTAACTATATGAAAGTTTTAATCAAAATTATAGTATTTATAGCTATCGAAAAACTACTGAATTAATTTATTAAGAATATTTCTTGTGTAAATCATTATACATTCTAGAAACAAACGGATCTTCAATTACCGATACTTGAATTTATTAACAAGGTACAACAGTTCATGTGAAGTTCTTTATTAACATCTTCGATACAACGTTAACTTTAAGCGACAGATAAAAAACGCAAACATTTTTCTTTTAACTTTCTATATTAATTTTTTGAAATACTTGAAGAAAAGTGCTCTACGTTTAATATACGAAAAGAACAATTTTGCTGAAATATCTAATAATTTAACTAGACAGATTTGAAAATAATTTTGTTGAATTATTAAAATAATTAGGGCTCAAGCATGATGATAAAGCTGTAAAAAAGTTTTGACATTCTAGCAACCAGCTTGAGCATTTTGCATAATTATTTTGATAGTCCTATAAAATTATTTTCAGATTTGTCTAGTTAAATTTTTAGATACTTCAGCAAAATCGTTCTTTTCGTGTAAAAGTGCCGCAATAATACCTCGATCATGCATTAAAACCACTCCCTTAGTTTCTCTGTGTCGCATCCTCTGACTTCTCCCCCAGAGGAATTTTTTCTTTCGTCAAATGCTCCCCATGGTGCCGACCTACCCCATGGGAGGATTGATCTCGCCTCCATCTCGATGGTAATTGAACTGCCATGACCTCGTTGACACATCGCGTGTAACAGACAAACGAACACGCGTGCATCCTTGACGTCACCGTCTCACGGTGATCGTCTAATCTTAAACCCACATGAGGGACCTCTACACCGATATGATTTTGATATATTTGAACGCACGGTTACATTACATTCGAGATGAGATTTGACAGATTTGACACTTGGAACTTGAAGAACCGACATTAAGCTTTCTTATTATAATTTTAAAAAAATGAGAAAAGAAAATATGTAGTTTGACAACTTGGAAATATATTTTCTTTATCAGCATGGGAATAGATTTGAGTTACTTTAATATGAAAGGAGTTTTGCTGAAATACCTAAAAATATAACTAAATCTGATACAAAATTTAACTAAATTTAATTAATTAAATATAGTCTGAAAATAATTTTAATGGACTATCGTTGTGTAAAATAATTATATAGGACACTCAAGTTAATTGCTAAATATAAAAATTTTTTGCAGCATTGTTCATCACGCTTGAATTTCCTATTTGATTATTTTGATTCAACAAAATTATTTTCAGATCTGTATCTAGCTGAATTTTTAGATATTTCAGCAAAATAATTCTTTCCATATGTATCTTTTTAAACGTTACTAAAGAACATGTCGTTTCCAATATTATTAGTTTTACATAAATGCCTTAAGACTATATAGTTTATCATCCACCTATTGACAAACTCTCTTCCTCTTTCCTGTACAAGTCTCGCGTAATTGCGTTAGTACCGTCGTACGATTATCAAGTATCGGTCGATTGTCGAGTAACGTACTATCCCTGTGCTACTCGTAATCTATTTAATGAGCGAGTTAATGCGATATCATCGGGGTTTGGTTACATGGGAAAACGGTGCATATACTTGTCGTTCGAAGGGCGCGCTTAGGCACTGTTAGACTGAACCTATCCCGTGGGTGGATAAATTTTTTATCTGCATCCGATGATGGAATCGCTGCGACCTATTTGCTATGTCACGTGGAACGTGCACGCGGCCGTTCCTCGAACGCGCGTATACGCATCACCGAATATATTATCACGTATGTTTTGTTACGACATCGATTAAACACGACGCGGTGTGGAATCAACGGTACTTAAAACAAAATTAACAAACTTTTCTCGCAATTTTTTAAATTAATACAGTGATAATACTTTCATTTCGGATCATATGCAATTTTTAAAATCTGTGTTTGTGAGATTTCTGTTATTTTTACTGAAAGAGATCGAAATATTTACTAATAATTTCTTGATTGATAAATGATTAAGGTAATTCAATATTTTATCAGCAGGTGTAGGTTTTGCATAAAATTGCTATATTAACTGATAATAGATAAATTGAGAAATATTTCTTAATTACTCATTACAATTAATCGAATTATTAGTCAGCGTACGTTTTTATTAGAATATTAAACGTCTCCAACAATATGCGAAAGAGCTGTGTAGAAAACATTAAAGCAAAGGGATCCTTCGTTTTTAATTATTTTTCTTTTGCATTATTCGAGCATATAGAATCCCGAGAAAAAAACAGGCTATTATTAACGTGGTACAAAGAATGCAGCTAGATCTCTTTAGTTCTTTATTAGAATTTACTTGAGATAGGGTACGTAATTCTCTTGTATGAA